TTAAAAAATTTTCTATGATGAATTGTATTTAAATATAGTGTCAAGAATTATAACAGTGTGCTTTGACAACTGTTTTAATGCACACACAAATTTAAAATGCCTAAAATGTTGAAATTATATAATTACAGTTTAAGCTTTACACAAAAGACATGCCAACATTTAAAATTTAAATTAATTAAGGATAAAAGGAGTAATTTATAAGTGACTGAATAGTATAAGAGGCTTTCGAATTAAAGTATTAGCTCAATACTCTGAGGTCAGCAAAACCATAGAGAAGGTAGTTTAATAATGTCATGAATAATATGAAATTTTTGTTCCACTTCATGTTTAAAAAAGTGAAATAAAATATTTGAAATAAAAATATATCATCAACCTTCATAAAATTTGTAATAAATTCTCAGATGAATACTTTACTGGAGTAAAACTCAGACAGTCTTGCATATTACAGTCAAAAGTCGTTAATCCGGACTCGTCGGGACTTCAGCGATTCCGGATTATCGATTTTTCCGGATTATAGATCATCAGTTTAAATCTGGTAAAATGGCATGCAGAAATTATAAAATTAAAAATATGAAACCGTAATTTACGAAATAAAGAACAATTATGATCTAAAGGGTATCAAAATTTACAAAAAAAAAAAGCTTAATATTTATTTGTTTACTTTATTAAATATTTCTTTCAGTGTAAGTTGTTTAAGTTGCTTCGTTTTTTATGTGATAATACATTCTCTTTAATTCCATAAACAGACATAATTTCTTGTTCAGTTACAAAGTTCCGCTGTTCAAGTCCTATAATTGCTGTGTCGAGAATACCGACTAATTTGTCAATCGAAATTTTTTCGTTTTCAATAACCTCTGTCACTTTCTTCGCTATTGGAAGCGAATTATAATGACGAGGCATTTGATTTAAATCATATCAAAGCCGGAGTACATCGAGAGGAAATACCACATTTAGTAAGCAATTATGAGCCAAATAAAATAAAAACATCTGCCCTTAAGATAAGGATAGTGTTGACAGATCAACTTCCAATTCATTGCGCTCCGCGGCGTTAAAGATAAACAAAGTTTAGGTAAACAAACGTTAAAGTTTAGATAAAAGAAGGATATGCCTTTATCCAAAGGATATGCCACGTTCCCCCCCCCCCCACACACACGCAGAGCAGCGTGAAATTGATAAACAGATTTCTGAATGGTTAGATAAACAAATCCTTTATCCATTTTTTGCAGCAATTCCACTTTTTGTTTAATGGACTCCGAAAGATACTTTCCCTTTGTATATCCTTTACATATTAGTAAATATATATCAGAAATTATGTTTGACATAATCGAAAGTTCAAGCTTACTTTTATAAAATTGCTCCAATTCGAAGATTAAGGAACAACGCAATCTGCAACATTAACTAAAATAGATAATTAGATAATTTTAGCTTAGCTTATCCCGTCCGTTATACATTAAACGCGCATTTGTAAACGTATTTTGGGCACGCGCACACGCAAATTCGCAGCCGTAAAGGTCTTACGCGCATGCGTCAACACGACGCATGCGCAGAAAGTTTGTAGCTTTGAGGTCCGGATTATAGATCATTCCGGATTACGGGTGTCCGAATTAACGACTTTTGACTGTACTATATTATATTAGCTTTTATAATATTAAAAAATTATATAAGAATGCAATTCATGCATAATAAATTACTTAACCCTTTGCGGCATGGTGGGTCAATATATGCCCCACCTAATTAATATTTATTTTCTCAGTTAGCAATTTCCGTTAGAAATTTTCTAATCTTTTAAAAATAATCTATTTTAGTTATTATTTTTCTCAGTAGATGTTACTACTATACCAGGGCTTAAGTTTATAAGCAAAAAATATTCAAAATAGGATCACAAGAGTGATATCCCTGTATCTCGCATTTTTCAATATTTTAAAAATTTTGGTATACAGTTTATGATATGTATGATACTTTTTAATATTCAAAAGTACTTTATTTTCAAAAATCTTAATTGTATTCAATATTTTATAACATTAATTTTGCAGTTGAAATAAGTGGGTTAAAATTTGTCCCACCACACACTTGAATTTCCGCTCAATAGATGGCAGCACTCACGATTATTTTTTTTCTTTTTTGCATCTACTTTTTTCGTGATTGCGCGCGCTTTTACATCCGTTGTATGCTCTGATGTGCTAAAATGTCTAGGAAAAAATTAACAACTCAGGAAGCTTTGGATCTTTTTGCTGAATTGCCATCTGATTGCGACTCAAATGCTTCAGATGTCAGTTTCTGATTCAGATGAAATTGAAATCCAGGAGAGAATAACTGAGGTTGAAGTTATTGCTGAAGAAGAAAGGGAAGTAGTCATAATTTGTTTCGCTTTTTAAAGACACAGATGCATCTATGCATGTGGCACTGTAAATATGAATCGGAAGTATCTACCCACAAATTTATGTCAAGAGGATATATAGACTTTTCAGTTAGCGATGATTCAATTTATTGCATAAAATGGAAGGATAAAAGATCCGTTTCCATCCTGTCTTGCCTGGAAAAGGCAACTGAAATGAAAGAAATTAATAGAAAGGAACGAGATGGAAAGACAAAAAAAAAAAAAAAAAAAAAAAAAAAAAAAAAAAAAAAAGTACTGTGCCCAAACAGCATTATTTCATACAATAAGAATATGGGATATGTCGACTGATTGATCAACTGAAAGGACTATATGAAATAGACCGCAAAAGCAAGAAATGGTGGCACATGATTTTTTTTTTTTTTTTTTTTTTTTACTTTTTAGATGCGAGTATAGTAAACACATTTATTCAAGTTTGTTCGCGAACCTGATCATGATGTAAAAACAATGAAAGGTTTTCTTCTCTCAGTTACAGAAGGTCTAATGGCACTTGCAGGCAAGAAAGAGCTGAAAAGAAAACTGAAATCCCCAGTTCAAATAAAACTAAAAACCCGTTCGTACAACCAGAAAAGACACTAAAAAATGTAAGTAAAACGCCAAAGAGAACGAGCAGGAGAAGATGTGCATATTGCAGCATATCGAAAGAATAACGACGAACATTTTGCATGTGTGAAACATGTGAAGTGCCTCTATGCTTACAAAAGAATGAAATAACATGTTTTTCAAAGTTTCATGAAAGTGACTTTTTTTTCAATTTTAGTCATATATAAATGTTTTTGAATCAAGTGCCAATTTTAATATTTTATTTAGTATCATATGTACGAGTATCAAATTTTAATCTTAAAATAATATTCAAGAAAATATTTTCTTTTGTTCCTAAAATTTAAAAATATTAAATATATACTACATGCAAAATGTGCATATGCAAAATTTTACAAGTCATGCATATATGCAATAAGTACAAAATGCATTTTAGTGTGTTTATTATGAATATTTTAGAATGCACGCTTTATTTTGTTTATTCATTCCACATATAATTTTTTTTCCCTGCTATACACCAATATGCTATAAGACATGTGCTAGTTGCATGGTGGGACAAATGGTATCCCACCTTCCACCGTAAAAAATAAAAGCGCAGAATTTTTTTCAAGCCTTAAAGGCACTTAAGTAAGTCCATCTGACTTATTCTAAGGCATTTTTTTAAAGATTAAAATATATTTTAAATATGCGTGTCGCAAAGGGTTAAACCAGACTTAAAAAATTTGACAGAAAGGTATTTTTTTATAAATTTTGTCAGTGTTTTAAAAGAAAGGCAAAGATTTCCTACACAGAATTAAAAGCGTTCTGTTGCAAAGAAATCAGAACTTAGTATTAGTTCTGGTGAATTGGGGGGGGGGGAGTTTAAACATAATTTTGTCTGTATTTTGAATGACAATAATTTTGTCTCGGTCTTTTAGATGGTTTAGTGAAGCATGTGAATCTGAAATTTATGAAAAACTGGTTACACAATTATAATATTTTATTACAAAAAATAATAGTAGGACTGGAAGGGAATTAACTTTTTTCCTTTCCTAGGTATGTAGTGTGAATATGATCTGATTTGCATAATATATTTAGCCACTGAGTGAATAAATTCCTACTAGTGCCAGACCTGGTCAAAAGACATGTTGCCATTCATACATTACTGCATTCATTGCACTGTTTTTTAAATGATTTGTTTATTTTCTTTACAACAACTATGTAATTCTGCAAAACTCAGGAATCATGCAAACATGTGCCACAGAAAGTGGCCTAAAATGCTTGGTATAAGGATGAAGTAACTTCTTTTAGATATGTTGTGGTTTATCTTATTTGGAAAAGTCTAAAAAAATATCATACCAATTTAACCCCAGAACAGCCGAGAGATGGCAGCACATGATTACAGACCACAAAATTCTATCCCAAGATTCTCAAGGAGAGAGTCAGTCGTCGAACGCGCGCGATGGTGCACGTGTGTAGTTTGGAGGTGAAGATGAAATAAAAATTGTTAAGTTTGAAATGTTGAATCTAATTTGATCTTCCTAAATAATTATCATAGATTCTTAACAATGGTGACCCGGCCTTGCAGCAACCAAGCGTTATTGTTTTAAACTAATATTTGCACGGAAAAAAAAAAAAAAAAAAAAAAAAAAAAAAATTCTCTTTTTTTTTTACATATTACTTGGGACTTAGCCACGTGACTGGAAATGACTGAAGGAACAGCAATAATCGGAGCAGTAAAGATACCTGTGTACAACTTCGCCGATCCTTCACTATGGTTCACTATGTGCGAAGCAACATTTGAATTGGGAACACCGAAAGCGATATCGGAGTCTCGCACGAAGTATAATTACATTGTTTCGCACCTGCCCGCCGAAGCCGCATCAATTGTGAGAGATGTAATCAAAGCCCCCAACTCCACGGATCCTTACAATCACATTAAAACTGAGCTAATCAAGCGGTGCGGAGAATCGACGCATCAAGAAATGAAAAAACTCCTCGGCGGCGAACAGTTGGGAGATCGCCGGCCAAGTGAACTCTTACGCATAATGCGACGACGCGCTGAGTCATACAGCATTTCCGATGAACTAATGCTAACTGTTTTTACAGCATATCCCGAGTTTCGTACAGGTCGATACTCGCAGCGAACACGCCTTTAACCTTGGATAAAGCTGCGGAAGTTGCGGATCGTGTCATCGATGTATCACCATCTCCTGTAGCGGTAAGTGCCACAAATATTTGTTCTGCTAATATTTCAGATTCCATTGAAGAACGTTTACTCGCAGAGATAAAAAAATTGCACGTAAGAATCGATAATATCTCGCGTGATCGTCGCCGCACTCGTAGTCAGAATAAATATCGCGGCTAAAGAGAACGCAGCCCCTCTCAAAATAAAAACAAGTTTGATACCTGTTGGTACCACCTTAAATTTGGTGAGAGAGCTATAAAGTGTACCCCGCCCTGTAAATTTTCAAAAAACGGCCCAGGCGAGGCATAGCGGCGACTACAGCCTTGCCCTCCAATTCTCGTCGCCTTTTTGTTAGAGATGCGCGCACAAATGTCAACTTCCTCATCGACACGGGTTCTGACGTATCTATAATTCCAGCAACAGCATTGCAAAGGCGAAATCGCATCCAAATGACCCTTTCAGCAGCAAACACTACACCAATTTCCGTCTACACTAGCCAAAATCTCTCCTTAGACTTAGGTTTAAGACGCATATTCAGATGGACCTTTCTTGTCGGCAGTGTTTCAACCCCTATTATTGGTGCAGATTTTTTGTATAATTTCAACTTGATGCCTAACCTCCACACAAAAAGATTAATCGACGGTAACACTAATCTTGGCTCTAAATGCAGTTTACGAGTTAGTGCAATACATTCAATAAAGACAGTATCTGGCGACAGTATATACCATAAATTATTATTAAAATTTCCAGAAATCACAAAACCACCCCGTGCTGACCAAGAAATTAAGCACACAGTAGTGCATCACATCCAAACCACAGGACCTCCCGTCACTGCTAAAGCACGACGTCTTGCCCCAGACCGCCTACGAATCGCCAAAGAAGAATTCCAAAATATGATAGAATTAGGCCACATTCGTCCTTCAAAAAGTAACTACGCATCACCTTTGCATATGGTCCCTAAAAAGGACAGCACGGAATGGCGTCCTGTAGGAGATTACAGAGCCCTCAATGCACAAACAATAAAAGATAATTATAACATTCCTAATATCTTAGATTTTACTTCTGAACTACATGGCTGCAAAATTTTCTCGTACCTTGATTTAATTAAAGCCTATCATCAAATCCCTATACATCCTGATGATATCCACAAAAGTGCTATAATCACCCCCTTCGGCTTATTTGAAAGCTGTCGCATGCAATTTGGCCTATGTAACGCTGCAGCCACATTCCAAAGATTCATCGATGAAGTTACTCGAGATTTAAAATTTGTTTATGCATTCGTAGACGATATATTAGTAGCATCTAAATCTGAGGAAGAGCATATCTCGCATCTAAGAATACTTTTTGAAAGATTGCAAAATTATGGCCTTAGCCTTAAACCTTCTAAGTGTGTTTTTGGTGTTTCCTCAATAAATTTCTTAGGTGTCAAAGTATCTGAAGAAGGAACAGAACCCCTGAAAGATAGAGTAGACTGTATTTTGAATTTTCCTAAACCTACTACCATAATTCAATTAAGACGCTTCTTAGGTCTATTCAATTTCTATAGACGTTTCGTTCCTAGAGCAGCACACATATTAGCACCCTTAAATAAATTTTCAGAAGGTATCAAAAATAATAAAAAAGAGCAGAAAACCTAAACAAAACGATCCCAAAGAAACACTTCAATGGTCTGAGGCTAGCGAACAGGCATTTACAGATGCCAAAAATTCACTAGCTACCGCAACTCTTCTTCGTCACCCAATTCCAGGAGCCAAACTTAGTGTTTGGGTTGATGCCAGTGACCTGGCAGTTGATGGTTCCTTGATGCAACTCAACACAACCAACTGGGAACCGATTGCATTCTTCTCTGTTAAGCTCACCAACAGTCAACAAAAATTCTCCACCTATGATCGAGAACTATTGGCCATTTACACTGCGGTGAAGAGATTCCGGCACATGCTCGAAGGTCGGAACTTTATCATTTTCACTGATCAAAAGCCTCTTATCTACGCCTTTAAGCAAAATTCAGAGAAGTGCAGTCCGCGCCAATGGCGTCGACTTGATTTCATTTCTCAGTTTAGCACTGACATTCGTCATACCAGTGGTGTTAATAATAGCGTTGCAGATGCATTATCCAGAATTGAGATAAACAACATCTCAAATTCCTCATTTCTTGATTTTGAAGCCTTTAGTCACGCTCAGAAAGCTGATGATTTACAAAATCTGCAAAACAGCAATCATTCACTAGAAATAAAGTCCATGCCCAGCCCAGTGTCAGCAACAGAACTCATCTGTGATGTATCAACCGGAATTCCAAGACCTATTGTGCCAGCATCTTTTCGTAAAATAGTGTTTGACCATTTTCAGAACCTCTCGCATCCAGGAACAACAGGATCTTGCAAATTAATTTCTGCTCGCTATGTTTGGCCCAATATGAAAAAGAATATTAAAGACTGGGTAAAAAGTTGTGATGCATGCCAGCGATCCAAAGTTCACAAACACACAAAAACACCTCTGGGTACATTTGCTACACCAGACGCACGATTTTCTCATCTGCATGTGGATTTAATCGGACCCTTGCCTCCTTCAGAGGGCAAAATGTACTGCCTCACCATCATCGACAGGTTCACCAGATGGCCTGAAGTGATACCCATCGCTGATATGACAGCAGCAACAGCATGCAGAGCCTTGTTCGAAGGATGGATATCCCGCTTTGGATGCCCATCTACCATCACCACAGATCAGGGTCGCCAGTTTGAGTCACCTCTGTTCAGTGAGCTCACACAAATTATGGGAACAAGAAGAATTCGTACTACAGCCTTTCATCCCCAAGCAAATGGCTTAGTAGAACGTTTTCACAGAGTCTTGAAAAATTCTTTAAAAGCCCATGAAAACCCAAGATGGACTGAATCATTACCAACAGTTCTCCTTGGCATTCGAGCTGCTGTTAAAACAGACATACAAGCATCAAGTGCTGATCTTGTGTATGGAACTTCACTAAGACTTCCAGCAGATTTATTTTCCCAAAGTGCCCAAAATACAACTCCATCTTATGAGTATGTGCAGAAACTCCAGGCACAAATGCAGCAGTTAAAGCCATTTCCCAACCAAAATCACCAAACAAGAATCTTTGTGCACCCAGAATTGCAAAAGTGTACACATGTTTTCCTTCGTGTGGACAAAATAACACCACCGCTCACTCAACCATATACAGGTCCCCACAAAGTCATAAGTCGAAGCGACAAAGTTATAAAAATATCCATAAATGTCAGGCAAAGCAATGTTTCCCTAGACAGAGTGAAACCTGCATTCATATATAATGATGAAATACAACAAATTCCTCACGAGCATGAACCTAAAGTCCCAGGAAATACTACTGGAAACTCTGTCAACAATTCCAAAACCACAAAATCTGGATGAATTGTGAAATTTAGCAAGAGACTCATCACAGAAATTGGTTAACTTGATCATAATTACTCTTGAGTTACTCGATTTTCAATGTTCATCATATCACAATTATTCTCTACAAATTTCAGAACTGAAAAACCTTTATTTTCATTTATTCATGTCAATTAGATTTAACCTGTATTACTTTATTTTGTTTTCTACTTTTATTTAATTTCATGTATGTAAGTGATTTCAGCAACTGACACAACCCAGCATCCCAATTCCCTTTTGTTTATGCTATGTATGTGTAAATACTGTCGTTCTTTCACTTCGCTTGTTCACTGGGGGGATACTCTTGTTGTGGTTTATCTTATTTGAAAAAGTCTAAAAAAATATCATACCAATTTAACCCCAGAACAGCTGAGAGATGGCAGCATATAATTACAGACCACAAAATTCTATCCCAAGATTCTCAAGGAGAGAGTCAGTCGTCGAACGCGCGCGATGGTGCACGTGTGTAGTTTGGAGGTGAAGATGAAATAAAAATTGTTAGGTTTGAAATGTTGAATCTAATTTGATCTTCCTAAATAATTATCATAGATTCTTAACAGATATTTCACTTGTCACACAGAAAAAGAAAACTCAAAATAATTTTCAATTTTTTTCTTAAAATTATCCATTTGCCTTATAAAATAAATATTTAATTAAACTAAATTTTAAAATTTACATTTCCATGTGCATATTATGAAGATTATTATTATTTTATATATACATACTGTATATATAAAATATGTAGACCCAGATTTAGACTAAGCCTCATATACATTTACTTCTCCCCCCCCCCCCATTTCTTCTTTCTTGGTCTTGGTTCAATCCACAGTAAAACTGGCATAAATTTTTTTTTATGCCAGTTTTACTGCATCCTTTCCTTTAAAAGTACATCCTTTCCTCGAGTTTCTAACGACGTTTTGTTCCTAATGACCATTTCCTTGTTGCCCTAAAAATATGCTTATTTTGCTAAATGGTTTATCCAGTTCTAACTGTTTGCATGTATCATATAATAACAGAGCTGTGACAGACACATATACTAGTGTTAAAATATTTTGTTCTTGATGTGAAATGCCATTCATGTTACAATACTGAGGATAATAATAAAATTTACATGTCTTTTTTTTATTATATGCTTGCCTACCTACTGAATTTAATTTTATATTATCATTTTTATTTTTCAAAATTGTATTTTAGAACGCCCCTCTCATTCTTTAACTTCATTTTTCTTTACTTTGAAATTCTTCATTTGAGACATATACAATTTCCTCCAATTTTAGTACAAAATCGAGGGGAAAAAAAAAGTACCTGGAAAATCTCAGTAACGATGGTGAGGTCCAAATTAAGTTAGAAATTAAGCAATTCATTTCACAGCTGCATTTTCAGCAGTGAAATTTCTTTTAAGGGTCAAAAATGTTACAACTATTAGGTGTTTTGTTAGAAAAATTCTGTGCTTTAATAAATAAATGCATTATTTTCTTGACGAAAAGGAATTTCTAATAATGCTTTGTATCCATATTGTTAATTACTGGACATGCATTTGTTTTTTTTATTTAATTCAGTTGGGGAAATATTCAACCACATTTTTCTGTATATCTTGCATAGAGATTGCTCATATTTAGGGTTTTCATAGATGCTAACTCTACTGGTTTTCAATCACGTTACAAAAATCTCCAGTTTTTGAGATTTCATTGTTGACAGCTGTGGATTTTCTTCAGATGAAAAATAGACATTTTTATGACTTTATTGTTTATCAATTATTTTTGTATGCTTTTGTAATTTTTTTATTATTAAAATATTTTCCCTTTTACAAAGTTCTAAACTTTTTCTTTTTTCAGATTCACCTCACCGATGATATCGGAACAACATTATTGATGTTTGTTGTATTCAGATCTGCTTTCGACGAAATAAATTCAGGTAGTGAAAAATATTCATATGCAGATTTATTTACGCTCTTCATAGAACGGGGATGTGACGTTAATGCCACTAGGTTGGGTAGTACTGTTCTTCACTTGGCAGTTATCGAAAAACAAGAAATTTTAGTGCGAAAATTGCTCATTTCTGGAGCTGAAATCGACAGGCGTGATGAGTATGGTTTTACCCCATTGTTCTATGCATGTAGAAGAGGTAGCCAGAGATTTGTGGATTTACTTATAATTGCTGGTGCTAAATTATGCACACAGAATTGGAGAAATAATTTGATAATCTCTGGAAATGAAGAAAGCATTAAGATGCTTATATATATAAATGATAAATCCAAGCAGTGTCATACGCTGGAAAACTTGTGTTACATTAGTATCAGGAAAAGACTTCAGAATGTAGAAAGAGATGCCTTTCAACTGGGTTTACCTCCATTATTAATAAGACGCTTACAACTCAAAGACTGTTCTAATTATGTAGGATGATTATTCTAATTATGTATGATGTACTGAGTTGTAAAGTTTAATAAAGGGTAAAATATTGCTAAGTATGCATTTTCCTTTTTTGAGGGGGCTGAAATAACACTTCTTTTATTATTTTACATTCTTACAATATTTGCTGTCATAATTTATAAAAGTTGCGCTATATCTATAGTATAAACAAGCAAGAAGAAAGGTGTGCATATATCATATGTTAACAACAAAACAATGCACAAATGGAAAAGTTTGTAACCCAATAAAAGCACTTTTGTTATAAATAACACCAAGCAAGAAATAACATTTGCATGGAAGGAAAGCTTTTTTAGAATTATATTTAAATTATCTGCGACAATAAAAGCATGATCAAGTTTTCTTGCCAATTAACAGAACCAGTCCAGTCCTCCTGTATACAGATTTGGGAGATATTTTAAAATTTTATTGCCTTTTAGTCCACTTTCACATTACTTTGATTACCATTAAAAATTAACATGAGTCCGGCCTCTGAAAATTTACATCTTATTCAAAAATTACAAATCTTTGGATAAGATTACAATCACAGATACAAATCTTGTTCAAAGAGTTGAAGTTATATATTTAATTATTTATATGACTTATCGTTATTATCGTTGCTAGAATATTTTATTTTGATAATTATATTTTACTTTTATTGGAGCTGGAATAATGATTGCAGTTTGTGTTTTCCAGCAGTTAATTAATTAAACTAAAAAAGTATTGCTTCTTATCATCTTTCGTTTTTTAATATAACCGTTACATGAAATTAATTCAGTTTCAGAATCCTTACTTCTTCAGAAATATTTGCAAGAAATTTCTGAAACAAAGTATACAAATGATTTCAAATGCTAAAAACTGAAAAATTCGAATAACTAGATAAATAATTATAAAATAATACAGCAAACAATTTTTAATGCCTAATCTTTTATACCTAATTCATTTTTAAAGCATCAACAGTCCAAGTCTTCTCAATTTTAC